TTTCGTTGTTTCTTAGAAGATCTGCGAATATAGTTAAAATATGCTGCGTGTAATACCTCTAAGTGTGATATAACTCTAGTGTATATCACCGGGGCAAATCCAGCATTTTGTAAATGCTATGTTTGTTATCAGACCACGTTATGAACCGTGAAGGGAGATTCCGAGTACACTCCTCTTCTCAGATATAGCATGTAAATATCGAATGCACCAGGTAACAACTGACTGACATCTGCGTACTTTTAAAGTCCTGATCTGTGATCACAGCATTTTTTTCCGAGAGAACGCTTCTTTACTCCAGGCGTTGGACGGGTACCTGTCAGTGTTATTAGTTGCATTCCTTTGCAGAGCCAGAAATAGTCAGGTCCCTTAGTGCAAAATATGGGCCGAATCGTTACAGGAGTGACAAATATCTCAAACTTGGCACAGTTGTAGCTTATGGCAGTACTATAATTATTAGAGGGGGTGCCCAATGCAGATATTCTTTTAGAAGTGAATTACAGATGATTAAATGTTCGAACCACCCGACTCCGAACCCCCCTACCGCGCCCGCCTGTATACAATACATCAGGAGCGAATGAAGACAATGTCTTCATTAACTCCTGAATACGTGTACCAGCTGTGCAATGCGCCAGTGCACCACTTTAATCATCTGTAATTCACTCCCGCGCGCATATATTTGCTAATATATTGACTATATCTTATATAAACTCAATATTCACAGAGAGTATATGTCTAGAGACATGTGTCTATAGGTACCTAGAATTTTAGAAATGTAACTCAAATCCTTCGCGAGATATTAGAGTTAGTACACTATCCTACGGGCCATATAGCCACGCGTATATATTAGCCTATGAGCGATACCGTGCGTATATTTTTGGTAATTAATTAAACTATTCGTGCTTTAATAAACTCAAAATTCACAGAGACCATAGCTAAGACATGTGTTTATATGTATCTAGAATTTTAGCAAATGTAACTCAAATCGTTCGCGAGATATTAGAATTAGTACACTATCCTACGGGCCATAGCCGCGCGTATATATTAGTCTATGAGCGATTCCGTGCGTATATTTTTGGTAATTAATTACCTAAACTATTCGTGATTCAATAAACTCATTACACGGGGATTATAGCTAAGACATGTGTTTATATGTATCTAGATTTCTAGAAATGTAGCTCAATTCGTTCGCGAGATATGAAAGTTAATACACTTTCATGCCGCCTATAGCGCATTAGCGTATGCGGGGGGAGAGGGGGGGGGGGGTTAACAGCT